ATATATAAAATGCAAATTACAGAATATTCATTTTCACAGTCTTCCTTGTATGTATGTATGTATGTGTATAATGCAAATTACAGAATATTCATTTTCACAGTCTTCCTTGTAGGGAATGATAAGACACAGGCTAAAAATATTGACAATAACTGTGTATATTACCTACCCTAACATGTACTGATTCATAATGAATGTTTTAAATGCTCTTACATAAGGGAGCTGAGGAGGTAGAAGCCAAGCATTGTCATTTATGTTGTTTGCTTATTTTTTCTTTTAGCTCCTACGGAAGCGGCACATTGGAAATGATATTGTAACAATTGTTTTTCAAGAGCCTGGAGCACAGCCATTCAGCCCAAAAAACATCCGCTCCCACTTTCAGCACGTTTTCGTCATCGTCAGGGTTCACAACCCCTGCACGGACAGTGTCTGCTACAGGTATTGATGCTGTGCAGTGGCTTGGTGGGCATTGGCTGGGTCACAAACAAGGCCCCTCCAGCCCCGCTATCTGAAGGGACAGTGGGGACTCTCTTACTATTTATTTTTGCCTTTAAACTGTGCCAGTGGATGGTTTAATTCACACGATGACGTAACCTGATGGCATTGACATTTCCCAGACGTGTTTGGTTAGACACCTGCCGTTTCCATTTGCACTTCCTCCTTAGGTGGTATCCTTCATCCATGCCATCTGGTCCCCAACTAATTACTCATACTGCTAATTATATTTTGCTTTTGGTATGGCAAGAGCAGAGAAGAATGATCATAGTAGAGAAGGTTGTTTTGTTTGTTTTTTTAATTACTAAATATTTAAAAAGCCCAAACCCTTGCTTAGGACTGATTCACTCTAACATTTCCAGCTGCAACCTTAGAGGCATTTCCAGGCTTGGTTACGCATTTGGTGGAATTGTTTCAGTGTCCCTCACAGACCCAGGCTTACGAGTCTCAGAATTCAGGCATCTGTCCACAGAGGCCGTGGCGAGAATACAGGAAGGGGTTGGTGATGAGGATAAAATGCTGGGTTGATGGAGGCATAGTGCCAAGAAGATGTGAATGGATATTCCAGCTTCAGTAAGATGTTTCTAATGTGAATCTATACTTTCAAAATAGGAAATTTTATTATATCTTAATCCCTAAAATTTGGAAGACAAGGCTTCATTTATTTTGGATATTTGTTTTTGAATTAATATAGCCACCTATGCAGGAAGTAGCAACACAGACTGGGAGTTGGATTGTGGTGAGATCCACAACTCTCTAACTCCAGGTCTGATGCAAGTTAACTATAGGTGTAGAGCTGGCAAGTTCAGGGAACAAAACAAGTAAAGGTTACTCTGGACTAATGCTGGCTGCCACCATCCTTGCACATTCCACAGTAACTGCGTGTTTGCATTCTTATTATAAGCCCTGCCCTATTCGAGGCACTTTACATGTATTCCTTCATTTAAAAAACCTATGAGGTCGGTACAGTTTTCATCCCTACTTTCAGATGAGGAAACTTAAGTGCCCAGAGAGGGAGAGCTTGCCTGGGGTCTGCTGGTCCTGGGCAGAGCCGTGGTTCACACACACTGCGTCTGGTTCCCGAGCCCGGTCTCAATGCCTCACTCCCATCAATGTGAAGCAGGGTCTTTGCTGCCCTGCTAGTGACATGACAGCTATTCCAGATGCCAGCCCTGAGTGAAAACCCAAGACCAGGGAGGTTTGGTTTCCTCGGCTCGGGGTAGAAATGCAAACACAGAAGACCTGGATCTGAAGCCTCTTCTCAAGGACTTGGCCTCTGAAAGCTGCTTCAGTTAGGTGTGGAGTAAGAGTAAGCACAGGGCATTAATAATGGGCTGGTAACTGCATTTAGAAAATACCCCACTCCCTGGAAGCATGCTGAGTACTGGGTTCATGCAAAGGATTTCATGCTATTCTGAAAGCTAAATCCTTGTGAATGGTTCTTAAAAGAAACTACCAAGGTTCCCACTCCCCAAACTTCCTAGTGACCATTCACAAGGGTTTTGCTTTCAAAGCATGAAATCCTTTGCATGAACCCAGTACACAGCATGCATTTTCTATATCTTGTTACTTTAAAAAACAAGGCTATCACACATATAAAATTAATATGTGGCTTGCCCTATATTTCAATGGGAAAGCATTTTATTTAAACAAAGCGTTTGTGGACTTAGATTTGGAAATCTAGGCTATATTTTAGACGTATTGCTTATTTCAGGATGCTTTTCATTGGAAATAATCTGCTTTTAGATTTCATAGAACTTGCAGTTGGAAAAGTAGACTCACATACTCAGATTTTTCTAAAGATGCAAGCTTTCAAATAGGTGAATTGAGGGTCAGATTTTGGAATTTAATATAATGTAATACTCCTTGGTCACACTGGCCACCTGGGCAGCTCAGTAGCCACACGTGCAAGTCTACACAGACTGAGGAGGCAGGAAGGTGTCTTCACCTTCTTCAACAGTTGGCTAGGTGAGGAGGTGACACCTGTTTGATTCTTTTCAAGCCAGCACCCCACCTCCAGCCTGAAGATGATGATTTTTGCTGACTTTTTCTTATTTTTAGTTTGTCACCTGGATCTTAATCCGCATTTGAGGCTGGGATCCTTTGCAGGACACTGCACACCCCTGCCGGTCACATGGGTGGGTTAGTCTGGAAATTTCCTAGTGGCCAAGCTTGTTTGAAGGTCCAATTCATTGCTTATAAACTGACTTTTGTCCTTTTGTAAATCCAAGCCAACACATCAGTTTGTAACATCACTGAAGGAAATTACAAGAAACTAAAATGTGATCTTTTCCTATTGTAAACTTGAGGTACATTAATTTTTCTCATTCCTTCTCCAGCCGAGGTAGGCATGTTTCCTGGGGTACGCGGTGAGGTCAGGAGAGGTTTCAAAGCCCAGAATAAACAGGGCACTTCTTATGTGGCCTTTAATGCTTAGCAAAATGGGTGTGAAGGGGTTTATTTTTCTCATGAAAAGTATTCTGAGGTAGCATAGAAATTTTTATCAATTTTAAGATAAAATGTGGGTCTTCAAAGAATTTGTATACCTGTGAGCTTTTCTTATACCCCAGCCTCTTCCCAAACTCCTAGGGATATGATAGGCCTCTTGCATTAGTAGTACTTTGGTTGAAAAGTATGGCAATACATTGACTTATGCTAATTTTATTTAATGTTACTTATAGTTATTACATTTTATTTAATTATTTAAATTTATGTAAATATCACTCCATGATGTAGAGTAATCAGACTGTTTTTTATCATTTAAAAGCTCTTGTTCCCAACTTTCTTCCCTGCTTGCACTCTTATTATTCACTGATGTCTACTCGGTGTCTGCACTGTGGTAAGTTTAAGAGTGGTTTCTTCAAAGGAGCTTCTTGCTGTAATTGT